GCGGGCTACCTGCTGGGTCGTGCTTCAACGATATCTTTGTGCGAGCGCATGCCACGAAGCCGTTCGATGGTTTCGTGAGTCGGAACCCTAGCGTGGACCTGTCCTCTTACATTGACGATGACACAGTCAGTTGTTGTGGCACGAAGGAGGCCGTCATCGAGTCGCTAGCTTCGGCGGCGTCGGATTTGCACAGGGTGTTCATCCAGGAGCTCGGGGTGAATCTGGCTCCTGATAAGTTGGTGACGTTTGCCTCGGACCCTTACACTGCTCGTCGCCTAGGGATTCGGCTCGGAATCCTGGCGGGGACTGTGGGTGTGCATGCGGTGTCCTTGGGATGCGATTTGGCCCCTGGGGGCAGGCGTAGTAGGAAGGGACATCTCTCCAGGAGGCGTAAGCGTTTCCAGGACACGGTTAAGCGTCATCGTGGTTTGAAGCGTTTTCAGCGGGCTTTGCCAAGGGACCGGGGCCGCATCGGAAACAATTACACGGCTGGTGCCAAGCCAGCTCTCACGTTTGGGGACACCATTGTGGGCATGAGTGATGCCGAACTCAGGCGTGCGAGACGTGTTTTGCTGTCTTTTCAGGCCCCAAGGCATGCTGGAGTTTCTATGCGGGCCAAGGTCGCCCTCGTGGGTGACCCGCTGTGGAGGGGCATGGTTGCACCAGCCACAGCGTGGGCTCAGGCGGCGTGGAGCGTCGTCACGAGGCCCAGCCAAGCTCAGTTTTCGGTCAAGGACCTGTGCGCGATGTGGAGGGAGGTCAAGCGGGAAGGACTCACTTGGGCTAAATCGCGTGGTCCCATAAATAGGATACACCTGTCCCTGTGTAGGATTGGGTGGACTGCGGTGAACCCCCTGCGTTGGATCGATGATAAGGGCATCGAGCACAATGTATTGTACACCACCCCCTCCATGGTGTGTTTCTTGTTGGAACGAGGTGTCCAGAGACACCATGAGAGAGTTTTGGCTGAAAAACTCGGGTGGTCCTCGGGGGCTAGGGTTTGCGTTGAGCCCTTGCGTCGGATCGTGAACCCTCGGTCCAAAGGGATTGGGTTAAGTGCCCAGGGGAAGTACTCTGTTAAGACGGCCTTTTTGTGAAGGTCTGTGGACTGAGGATCGGGCCCGTAGTTCGGGGTACCTCTGTTTAGGACTGTGCCCGCTTTGTCAGAGACCTGACTCGGTCAGGCATCGACTCTACGAGTGTCAGCACCAGGACGTTGTGACTGCTCGAGGAGGGGCGGAGGTCTCGGCTGACTTCTGCCGCGAAGCGCTCGGCAGTGGCGATGCGCTGCGCGACGGCCTTAAGATGTTGCATCCGGTCGACAGCTGGCCCAGTCTTAGTGATGAACATGAGCCTGTCTTGTTTAATGAGGAGGGACAGGAGGTGGAGTGGTCGAGGTTTGACTGCACGGGGCTCTACCAGGCGGGGGATGGGTCATGCATACCACACTGTATCTCGGAGTTGTCCAGAGCTGCCTACTCTCGGGTCTTCTTTGATGGTGAAGGCCACCAGAAGTACGTCGCGCGTGGAGTGGTGTGGCCCTCCTTGCCCCAGACTAGCCAGGCCGCGGAGCAGTTGCAGCTAGCCTTGTTGCCCATTTTCGTGCCGAGGCTGTCCTCTCTGTGTTACAGCGATTGTATGAATGCGGCCAGACTCCACAACAAGGGACCCAGCGAGCAAACCTCCCCGAAGCAAACGTATGGAGGTCTCAGGCGAGGCGCCCTGGCCCACATGTGTGAAAATAAGTTTGCCCCAGCTATTCACGCGCCTGCGCACCGCAAGCTGGAAGTGATAGATGAGCTGGCGCTACCAGAGCGCAGGATTGGCCAGGCCAACTGGCGAGCAGATCTAGAGGCCAAGAAGGCCATCGAGCTGCATGCACGGCCTTCGGAGGCCGAAGTTTATCAAGTCGATTGGACCATCGACCAGATGCGCAAGTGCGCACGGCTGATGGCGAGCGTGCTGCCGCTGTTTCCGCGTGCGTCTCACCAGCGGCCGCCTCGACGTGGGAGACCCACGAAGGTTTTCGACAAGGCCACGTCGTGGCATGCTTGGCAGCGAAGCCTCTGGGGATTTCGTTGCGCTAAGTGTCTGGTCTTCCTCGGAGGACGGCAACATGAGCGACCCGAGCTCGGTTGCGAAGGTTTCCTTGAGAGAGTGGCCGAGCTCCTCGTCTCGGCCCCCGATCATGGACACAAGCTGGCGAGTACCCAGGTGGGAGAGGAGCCCAACCCTCTGTTTTTCTGCCTGGCCTGTGGTGCGTACTCCCAGCACAAGATTCGCAGTTTGGCCACCCGCTGCCAGCCAGGTAGCATCCGAAGCGGGGGCCAAGTGTTGTCTCGACTGCGCAGAGGACTTCATCCTTTGCGCAGCGTGCCAGTCTCCTGCGCTGAACCTGAAGAACAGGTTGCGAGGCAGGAGGCGGACGTTGTCTTGCAGATGGCTCGCCGAGGCGAAGTGGCGGCCTCTGCTACTCTTCTGCCCTGCCTGGACGCCATTCGTGCCCGCATAGCGGCACGAGAGGCAGCGAGCAGGGCGGTGTGAACTGTCGCACTGTCATAACTGGTCGGTCAACAGTGACCAAAAAAATGGCTGATGCTGAGGCAGGCTGAGGCTGAGGCAGGCTGAGGCTGAGGCTGAGGCTGAGGCTGAGGCAGGCTCATGCTGAGGCAGGCTGAGGCTGAGGCCGAGGCTACAGGCAGACTGAGGTTGAGGCTGAAGCAGGCTGAGGCTGAGGCTGATGCAGGCTGAGGCTGAGGCTGAGGCTGAGGCAGGCTGATGCTGAGGCAGGCTGAGGCTGAGGCTGATGCAGGCTGAGGCTGAAGCAGGCTGAGGCTGAGGCCGAGGCCGACGGCAGACTGAGGCTGAGGCTGAAGCAGGCGGAGGCTGAGGCAGAGGCAGGCTGAGGCTGAGGCTGAGGCAGGCTGATGCTGGGGCAGGCTGAGGCTGAGGCTGAGGCTGAGACTGCAGGCTGAGGCTGAGGCAGGCTGAGGCTGAGGCCGAGGCTGAAGGCAGACTGATGCTGAGGCTGAAGCAGGCTGAGGCTGGGGCTGAGGCAGGCTGAGGCTGAGGCAGGCTGAGGCTGAGGCTGAGGCAGGCTGAGGCTGAGGCTGTGACTGCGACTGCCATTGCCGCTGCGACTGTCATCGCGAATGCGGCTACGACTGCGAGAACAGCAGAATTCTACAACTGGATTCTCATCTGAATCTTAAGGGGAATGCTTCCAGATATGCTCCTACTCATCGCTGTTAGGTTGCTTTGCCGGGATAATTTCAGTGAGGACGAGGCGCTGATGAGTAAGTCTGAGTGCGAATGCGTCTGAGCGTGGGAGAGGAAGCCCGGAGGCGTCTGAGTAACACAAATCCAAAGATAAGCCTAGGCGGCCGAAACAGGCAAACCGCCTGAGACCTCCCCACAATATGGACATATGGACGCGAATCTTGGAATGTCCCCACTCCTGGCGGCTCCCCCTTGGGGTGCCCAAGTGCCACGCTTGCCATAGCGCCGAGATAAGTCTGGGGGGCCGAAACACGCAAACCGCCCAAGACATCCCCACAATCTGGACACGCACGGGCCCGTGCAACACCCTCTGGTGGCCCCCCTTTGGGGTACCCAAATGCCACACCTCCTATGTAGTGATGAGCAATGGATCACCAAAAGAGGAAAGTCTGGGGGACAGAAACACGCAAACCGCGAGAGACGCCCTGACAATCTGAGCGCGAGCGGGCCTGTGCAACACCTCCTGGCGGCACACCGCTGGGCTGCCCAAATGCGACGCCTAGCGCGGTGAGCAGTGAACCACCCGATAGGAAAAGCTTGGCGGCAGAAAGAAGCACAACGCCTAAGACATCCCCACAGTCTGGACGCGAACGGGTCTGTCTAACACCACCTGGCGGCACCCCCTTGGGGTGCCCGAGTGCCACGCCTGTGATACCGCAGTGAGAAAGGGAAAACCATAAGAGAAAGTCTGGGGGGCAGAAGCGGGCAAACCACCTGAGACATCTCCAAACTCTGGGCGCGAACGGGCCCGTTCAACACCCCCTGGCGGCTCCCCCGTGGGGTGCTCAATTGTCACGCTAGCTGCATCGAGGTGGGAAGGAAACCACCACCACAAGAGACATTACTGGGGGGGAGCAGAAACAAGCAAAATGCTTTAGACATTCCCTCGTTTGAGACATCCTCACGGTCTGCGCTTTTGAGTGCAAGTGTTATGTTTGAGTTAGTCGTAGTGTGAGGACGTCTGCGTGCGTCTGTGTGCGAGTCAGTATCCGTGCGGGTGAGTATGAGAGCGAGTGAGTCAGCGTGTGAGTGAATCTTAGTATGGGTGCATCTGCGCTTGAGTATAAGTTTGAGTTGGTCTGAGTGTGAGTCTGAGCGTGAGCAAGTCGAAATGCTAGTGAGCCGTAGTGTGAGTGAGTCGGAGTGTGAGTGAGTCTGAGTATGAGCGAGGCTGGGTGTGCTGAGCAAGACTGGGTGAGGAAAAGGAGGCGGGAGGGCTCGCATAAGGAGTCGGAGGCGCCTGAGTAATGACACTCATCCCATCTTAGGGAATGGCCATGGCAGACGTCCTTCCACTCTTTGAGCATCAGTCGGAGTTTCGGAATTCGGATCTGCAGGGCAGGGTTGGCTGAGCGGGGCCTTCGGGCCACGGCTCGGGCCTCCAGCGGCCGTTCGGAACGATGTTGGCATCCCTGGGATGCTCTCGGCGAGGCGCAGCTGATGGAACCCCCTCCATGCCTCGATGATGCTGGGCAACTTTTCCACCACCACTACCAGATGTAGGATGGGGGAGAAGGGAGGAGGACGTCCTCCTCCTCCTCCTTCTTCTCATCCTTCTCCTCCTCCTCCTCCTCCTTCTCCTCAACCTCCTCAACCTCCTCCTCCTCCTCCTGCTTCCCCCCCCTCCTCCCTCTCCTACCTGCGGTAGTGGTGGTGGGGTACGGGACTGACAGACAAGCTGCCGGGACACTCCCGACCATTTTCGGGAACTCCCGCGCCAGGAGGCGTTCCGCGCGCCCTTCGCGGAGCAGCTGGGCGAGCACGTCCGCTTCGCCGAGTTCGGGGCCCTGCCGCTGCCCCCACTGGACGGCGTGGGCGCCGTGCTCCTGGAGCCGATCCAGGGGCGGGGAGGCATCCGCGAGCCGCCGCCTGGCTGGCTGTCGGCGGTGCGCGCCGCGTGCGACGCGGCGGGCGCTCTGCTCGTCTACGACGAGATCTACTCGGGGTTCGGCCGGACGGGCGCGTGGCTCCCAAGGGGAAGAGTCGGACAAGGAAGAGACGTGCTTGAGATGGCGATGCCGCTTGCCCTGCCTCATCGCCACGGCCAGATTCGCTCCGAAGTCCCGGTCAGGACGCGCTCTTGGGGAGGTCGTTGGGGGGGGGGGGGGGGGCAGCGGCGCGGCTCCCGAGAGGAAGGATCGGACAAGGCACAGTGCCCCAGCCAAATACCCAAATAGCAGCAGAGGTGAGGAGGCGGGTCGGGGAGTACGAGATCGGTCAGTGTCAGGGGCGAGAGCACGGCACTGTGCACCGTTCTTCGTCGTTGACGAGGGATCGTGGCCGTCCAGGCCAGAGCTGTAGCCGGAAAGTTCGGCGAGAGCAGGATTCTTGACGGCCGTGTGCGCTGTCATGGGCCAACATGTCAGCCCGCACTGAGGCGAGCGCACGATGTCAAAGTAGCACGTGGGGATGTCCCAGGTTTCAGCACGCATTGAGGCGAGCGCGTGATTTCTGAATTACGCGTGGGGAAGTCCCAGGCGAAACGGCCGGCAGACCAACCATCCTAGGGCTCCCCTGTGTGGGACTCTTCTGTGGTCCTCTTTCACCGCTGCAGCCCTCCAGCGGAAGGCTACTGGGGTATTACTGAAGGTATTGGTGCCGCTACCGTTCCCTCGTCGCCATGGCTGGATTCGCCTCGAAGTCCTGGTCTGAACGCACTCCTGGAGATGCCTGGCGAGCAGCGGTATACAGCATGCCGATGCCACTTTCATGGATGTTTCGCAATTTCTGGCCTCCTTGAGGCGCCCTCGCCGCCACGGCTGTACTCACTCCAGGGTCCTGGTCAGAGGGCGCCTGGGCCCCCGGAGAGTTCCGGGGAGTGGAGGTGTGGGCATCGGCTGCACGCAAGTGTGACCCCTCGCCAGAGTGACCCTTGGTGCGCGGCTGTCGGGGTGCGCGGTGCGGGAGCGGGGGGGTGGACCGCGAGCCCACGGGCCTCCGCTCTCGAACCGCCCGCAGTGATCGGCAAGCCGCGCGCCAGAGGCCCCTCCCGCGTGCTCCGCCTCCAGGTTCGCGTGGCAGGCCCTGGACGGGCCCGCCCCCGACCTGCTGTGCGTGGGCAAGGCGATGGCGGGCGGCTTCCCCGTCTCCGCCTGCCTCGGCACTCGCGCGGCCATGGACGCGTGGGGCGCGTCCAGAGGCGAGTCGCTGCACACGCAGACCTTCCTCGGCAACCCGATGGGCTGCGCCATGGCGCGCGCGGCTCTGCGCGAGCTGCGGGCGCTCGACGCCCCCGCCCTCGCGCGGCAGCAGGGCGGGGCGCTGCGCGACGCGCTCGCCGCCGCCGGCTTCGCGCGCAGCTCGGTGCGCGGCCGTGGTCTGATGCTGGCGCTGGCGCTCGTCGACCCGCTGCATGCGATGGCGGCGCTCAGAGGAGGAACATATGAGGATACTTCTACCTTCTCTTGTTTGGGCTGTTTGGGGCCTCCTGGGAGGCCCTCGTCCCCACGGCTGGATTCTCATTGAGATTTTGGTCAGGAAGCACCCTGGAGAGATCCGGGGAGTGGCGGCATCGGAATCTTTCTTGTCCCCCAGGCGCTGCAGCAGCGCGGCGTGATCGCGTTGCCCTGCGGCGATGGCGCCGACTTCGCCCTGGCCATCGTGCCGCCCCTCACGATCACGGGGGCGCAGATGCGCGCGGTGGCGGCTGCGCTCCGCAGCGGCGAGGATGAGCGTGAGGCGGCGGGCCGTGGTGAGCCGTGACGGCTCCACCGTGTCGTCCCCCCTCAGGTTCTGCAGGCGGCCGGCCGGGGCGGCTTTCCCTCCCCCTCCCTCTTCTTGGGGGCAACCTTAGGGGGGGATGGGCTCGGGGGGGATGCATCAATCCCCAATCGCCCACTGATCGCCGATTGGGGCCCGATTGCCCACCCCGCGCAGGAACATGTGGATTCGCTATCGTTGGCATATCTCCGATCTATAGGCGATCTATCGCCAGTTCCAGCTCGATGTTTTCCCTCTGAGATGGTCCACCCCTGGTTAACGTTCGCTCCCCCTTTCCTCCTTGTGCGACTGGGTGCGGTCCAGAACGAGTCTCGCCTTCGACTCATCTCGCTTTCCGCGGAAGCGGGTGGAAGGCCAGCGGAGGTAAGGCGGCGGCGACAAGGCGGCGGAAGTGAACGCGAGACGTCAGTGTGTCTTGGTTCAGGGTTTCAGGAGCCGAGCAATAATATGACTACTACTCACCTGTCTCCCATGTGATTTTCTTGCGCGCGTCTGTCCCGTATCTGGTTATTCTACACAGGACTGTCTCGAATTGGTCTTCGATGCGTTTTTCCTTATCAGAGCGTTCCTGGTTCCTCCAGAGTGTCACTCCCGCTGCAGCGCTTGCCTCATGTGATTGGTCTCTTCAGAGGGCCTTTGTCCGATGGAGAACGACTCTTTCGCCGTGTAGCGCTTGCCGCAGTCTTGCATACAGCGAGAGTGGTGTTCCCGCTGCTGTTTGAAGTGGCGACATCCGAACCGTACCCCACCAACCATCGATTCTCTAGAATCGATGAGAGGCGGGGGTAATTAGGGTTCGGATTTCGCCACGTGTTCGACGAATTCCGAACCCAACCCCCGTCGCCCGTCGGGTCGCCTGAATCGTTGATCTGCGAAGGTAGTGTTCGGGTTTCGCCGCCGACGTTTTTGTTACATTTGTGGATTTCCGTCGATCTTCCGTCCAGGGGAGTGGCACTCGCGTCGCAACGGTGGCCGTACTCCTGCATCCGCGGCACCTGTGCTCCCGCTGCATCGTGGTCACACGTAGCGATCTCCATGGAGCCTCCGTCTTCGCTCGTCCTCCCCATTCTCCCCTTTTCCTCCTCCTCGTTCTCCTCCTCTTTCTCACCTCCGCCTCCTTCATGCCCTCCCAGCTTTTGACTTCCAGAGGTAGGGGCCTCTTCCATTAGGTTGCCCTGTGGGACCAATGTCTTTCCTGACGCCCGACTCTGCGAACGGAGGGGGGATCAAGGTTCGACGCAGTGGAAAGGGACGGGAGGGGCAGGACGTCAGATGTGCCGCGACCGCACCTTGCTAGCGGTATTTCTTCCTTTCGCTCCTCCTCGTCACCCTCCCGTCCTTATCGGAGGGAGGGTCTCCCGCCCACGCAAATGTCGCGCAGGTGTTGGTTGGTTCGGGTTCGGGGCGATCAGTGGTCCTTGCGTTCGTATTAGCCGGCCGCTGTGCGGCTGATCGGAGAGGATGAGGAGTATTGCGACGGTGAGGGTGCGACGGTGAGCCTTGTTGAGGGACCTCGGGTCCAACCTGTCGCGGACTTTGTGTAGAAGGCGCCAGTTTTTCGGGCCCGTCCAGGTGTCGGGCGCCGCGGTTTGGGAGCCTAGCATCCTCGCGCGCCATGGGTCACGATAACGTGGATTCCACAGAGGCGCCTTCAAGTTGATCGTGTTGTAATTATCCTTCCGGTGCCTTGGTGTGCCCCGGCCACAGGAGGTCCGCGGCCTCGATGGGTCCCAGTGTCACGTCCTCTCGCCCTCACAGGAACACCAAAGCAAACAGTATCGAATCAAGTTTAGAGTCTACGTATTTCAGCTGGTGTTTCAGTTTTCAGTGCTCGCCGCCCGCACGCAGATATCGGGGAACGCGTGCGCGTCACGCAAAAGTGGCCTTTCGCGGGGGGAGGGCACGATGACCCGCTGCATGGGGCCTAGCGGTGCCGCTGGATCCCTTCGGGCGGACAGCAGCGGGGCGAGCGAGGATTCAGGAGATTGGCCCTGCAGAGGCCCCGCATGGCCCTCAGCTGCCACCGCGGGCCCAGGGGTGCACGAGAGAGACGCGTTCTTGTAAGCCCAATCTAGGGCTTGGGGCTTACACTGCGTATTAACGTATTGGGGCCTCGCCGCGGGGTCACTTGGGCCCCGCCAGGCGGCTTCGTTACGATCCCTCGTAAAACACGTGGGATTCGCGTCGCGACGGCTACCTTTCTGTCTGGCCGCTCGATGCCGCGATGCTTTGTGAACTACATAGGGTTCGCGTCGCGAAGGCAACCAACCTTTCTGGCCTGCTCATGCCGGAATCTTTTGAAACAGAAAAACGGGCTCGCATCGCTACATCCAGCTCTCTGGCCTCCGAGCGTGCTTTCGCTCGCGCAGGCTCGCACAGAGCGTTTCTCGGGCCACTTCGGGAGCGCCCTCGCTCGTGCAGGCTCGCGCGGAGCGCTTTTCGAACCTTCGGAAGCGCTCCCACTCGTGCAGGCTCGTACGGAGCGCTCGTCGGGCCGCTTCAGAAGCGCCCCCGCTCGTGCATGCTCGCACGGAGCGCGCCCCGCCCGGCGGCTTCGCTACGATGCCGCACAAAACACTCGCGACGGCTACTTGTCTGACCACTCGATGCCGCGATCCTTGGTGAAACGCGTAGGATCCGCGTCGCGAAGGTCATCTTCTGGATTGTGGATGCCGGAATCTTTTATAAGAGAAACATGCGAATTTTGCATCGCGAAGGCCACCTCTTTGGCCTCCGAGCGTGCTTTGGCCCGTGCAGGCTCGCACGGAGCGCTTGTAGGGCCGTTTCGGGAGCGCCCCCGCTCGCACAGGCTCGCGCGAGGCGCCCGTCGGGCCGCTCCGGAAGCGCCCCCGTTCTTGCAGGCTCGCGCGGAACACTTGTCGGGCCGCTCCGGAAGCGTTCCCACTCGCGTAGGCTCGGGAGCGCCTGGGTGCGGTCGAGTGCACCCGGGAGCGATGGCGAGCACTTGGGAAGCGCCGGGGGGACCTTGGCGCGGACATGGTGCATTTCCAGAGAAGGGACATATAAAGGAATTGCGTTTTTCAGGCGCCGCGCATAGGAGCGCTTCGGAGCGCGCGGAGGCGCATGGGAAGCGCTCGAGAGCGCTTTGGAGCGCCTCGGAACGCTTGGTGGCGCTTGGGGGCGCCCGAAAGAGCACTCGGGAGCAGATGGGATGCGCCAGGGAGCGCCCGGCGCAGAAAGTGTGCATTTCCAAACAAGTTAAAATGATTAGTCTTTTTACCAGGCGCCGCGCCTGGGAGCGCCTGGGAGCGCCCTTAAGCCCAGGAGCGTTTCGGAGCGCCTGGGGAGACTCGGGAGCTTGGGGGTGGCGTTGCGATTGCTGTCGCCCGGGCTTGCTCAGCTCGGAGTGCTCTTCGTTTTGGTGGTTTAAGAATCAGGGTTTGATGTTTTGGGTGCTGGGGTTTCTGCGCAGCACCGTCCTATCCCTCCTCCCCAGGACGTAGGGGGGGTGGATGCGCCCCCGCCCCATCCACCCTGAGTCACTGCTTTAAGGGTTTAGGGATCGACCCCCGTGGCCCCCCCTATCAAAGGGGAAAGTGCGCAGGCGCCAGCAAGGGTGAGCGGCGCTTCCACGTGCAGCCAGGAACCGTCTTTTGCGAGAAAACACGCGCGATCCCGACCCCGCGGGGCGAGAGTCGCGCGCTCACCCTTCCCAAGGAGCCGCTGCGCGGAGGTTGGGCATGGGTTGCAAGCGCTCTCGATCGCTCCCAAGCGCTCCCAGGCGTTCCCAGGCGCCCCCAAGCGCTCCCAGGGGCTCCATGGCGCAGCAACGCGCTCCCAGGCGCGCCCAGGCGCTCCCAATCGTTAGAAGCGTTTCCAGGCGTTCCCCGGCGCTTTGCTCCCATGCGCTCCCAGACGCGCCCAGGCGCCCCCGTGCGCTCCCAGCTCCCCGGCGTTCCCAGGCGCTCCCAGGTGCCACTGCGCGCCCCCGCGTGCTCCCAGGCGCCCGCAGAGGCTCAAGGCGCCCCCGCGCGCTCCTGAGCGCGCCCGGGCGCTCCCAAGTTCCCCCGGGCGCTTCCAGGCGGTCCCCGGCGCTTTGCCCCCGCGTGAGCCCCCAACCTTTCCCACGCATTCCGGGGCGCTCCCATGCGTTCCCAGGCGTTCCCACGCGTTCCCAGGCGCTCCCACGCGCTCCCAGGTTTTCCGTGGCGTTCTCAGGAGCTCAAATGTGCTCTCAGGCGCTCCCGGGCGGCGCCGGGCGTTCCCATGCGCAAGCCCTACCCCCCCCCCTGGAATGCTCGGCGACCGTCAAGGAACGTGCGGGCGCGCTTCGGAAACCCCAAGGAGCATCCGGAGGGCCCGCACGCGTCCCCCGCACCCAAATTGGGCACACCCCTCACACGTTCCGTGGCCCCATAGAGGGTTCCACCGAAGGCCCCAGTGCCACCGCCCGCATGCGTCCCACACGCCAATTTCGGCATACCCCTCACACGTTTCGTGGCCCCATAAGGAGCTCCACCGAAGGCCCCAGTGCCACCGCCCGCATGCGTCCCCCGCACCCAATTGGGCACACACTTCGCACGCTTCGTGGCCCCATACGGAACTCCTCCGAAGGTCCCAGTTCCACCACACGAATGCGTCCGCCACACCCAGTTTGGCACACGCCTCACACGTTTCGTGGCCCCATAGGGAACTCCACCGAAGGCCGCAGTGGCGCAGTCCGCATGGCGGCGCCGCCCCATTTTGGCACACCCTTCACACGCTTCGTGGCCCTATAAGGAGCTCCGCCGAAGGTCCCAGTGGCGCAAGCCGCATGGCGGCGCCGCCTGATTTTGGAACACCCCTCACACGTTTCGTTGCCCCATAAAAAAAGGGCTCTACATCAGGCCCCAGTAACAGCGCCCGCATGGCGGCCCCGCCCCATTTCGGCACATTATTCACGCGTTTTGTGGCCCTACAGGGAGATCCACCGAAGGCGATATTAACAACGACGGTATCCACAACTGCGTATGGTTGGGCCCTTCGCCAGGCTAATTCATTTTCCCAAACATCCAGTGGTGTTGGGTCCTCGTCTTGAAGAGACGGTCCCCGCGTTCCTTCCTCCTTCATTCTTCCTCCCCCCCTCCTCCCTCTTCTCACCATCAGCACAGCATCAACAGCATCGTCAGCATCATCGTCATCATCACCATAATCGACACCCATTTCGGCACACCCATCACACGCTTCGTGGCCCCATCGGGAGCTCCACCGAAGGCCCCAGTGCAACCGTTCACACGCGTCCCCCGCACTCATTTCGGCACACCCCTCACACGTTCCGTGGCCCTATACGGAATTCCACCGAAGGCCCCTATGCCACCGTTCACATGCGTCCCCCACACCCATTTCAGTACACCCCTCACACGTTCCGTGGCCCCATCAGGAGCTCCACCGAAGGCCCCAGTGCCACCGTCCACATGCGTCCCCCGCAACAATTTCGGTACACCTCACACGCTTCGCGGCCTCATGGGGAGCTCCACCGATGCCCCCGTGCCACCTTCCACTTGCGTTCCCCCACGCCCATTTCGACACCGCCTTCACACCTTTCGTGGCCCCATAGGGAGCTCCACCGAAGGTCCCAGTGCCACCGTCCATGTGCGTTCCCCGCATACATGTCGGCACACCCCTCGCACGTTCCGTGGCCCTATACGGAATTCCACCGAAGGCCCCTGTGCCACCGTTCACATGCGTCCCCCACACCCATTTCAGTACACCCCTCACACGCTTCGTGGTCCCATAGGGAGCTCCACCGAAGGCCCCAGTGCCACGGTCCACATGCGTTCACGTTTCGTCGCCTCACAGGGAGCTCCACCGAAAGCCCCAGCGCCTCCGTCCATGTGCGTCACCCGCACCCATTTCGGCACACTCCTCACACGCTTCGTGGCTCCATAGGTAGCTCCACGGGAGGCCCCAACACAACCGTCCACATGCGTTCCCAGCGCTCATTTCGGCACACCCCTCACACGCTTTGTGGCCCCATATGGAGCTCCACCGAAGGCCCCAGTGCCACCGTTCACATGCGCTCCCTGCACCCGTTTCGGCACCCCCTTCACACGTTTCGTGGCCCCATCGGAAATTCCACCAAAAGCTCCAGTGCCACCGTCCACATGCGCCCCCCACACATATTTTGGCACTCCCCTCACACGCTTCGTGGCCCCATAGGGAGCTCCACCGAAGGCCCCAGTGCCACAGCCCATTTGCGTCCCCAACATACATGTCGGCACACCCCTCACGCGCTTCGTGACCTCATAGGGAGCTTCACCAAAAGCTCCAGTGCCACCGTCCATATGCGCCCCCCCACACACACACACACACACACACACACACACACACACACACACACACACACACACACACACACACACACACACACACACACACACACACACACACACACACACACACACACACACACACACACACACACACACACACACACACACACACACACACACACACACACGTGTTTCGGCACACCCCTCACACGTTTCGTGGCCCCATAGGGAGCTCCACCGAAGGCCCCAGTGCCACCGTCCAAATGCGTCCGCCGCACCCATTTCAGCACAATCCTCACAGGGTTCGTGGCCCCAACTGTGGTGCTCACAACTGCATATGGTTGGGTCCTTCGCCAGGCTCATGTTTCTCCCTCTCTTTTCTCGTTGATGCCGACGCGACAGCAAGAGCGGAGAAGGCACCGCCACTGTCCAGCGCACGTCGCGTCGGGAAGTGTGGCGCACGAATGTTCTCCTCCGCTTCCCATCCCTCCTTATCGTCTCCCTCCTCGTCCTGCCTCAGCTGCTCGCTCCTCGCTCTGGCGCAGTTGGCGCACCAGGCGCGCGTCGCGCCGCGCCCGGCAACGCGGCGCTCGTGGCGCCTCTCGTACGGGCCAGCGCGGCGCGGGAGGGCTCGCGGGCAGGCGCAGCCCTCGGCAGTGCGTCGTCGGTTGCCGTTCTGTGCTTCCAGCTCTTTCTCGGCGGGGACCGCCGTGCCTGGAGGGCCCTGCGCCTGAAGGCATGAAGGTGCCCCGTCTTGGTGGTCAACAATCCGCCGGACGCCGACGTGCTTGTAGAAGTGCTTGTGTTGGTGATGGGCGATGGGCAGGAGAGGCGGTTTTGGTTGTGGCCGCCTTAGCCCGCCTGGCCCAGAGCTTGGGTCGCGGAGCGCCTCATTCAGCACGGCGCGAGTGCCAGCCAGAACAAATTCAGGTCTGCTCGCCTGGGATGACCCTGGGAACCCAGTATCGATTCCTCCTTTTTTACCCGCAGCACCAACAAAAAGCCTGGCGAAGGACCCGACCAGATGCAGCTGTGGGCACCGCGTTGTGGTTACCGCGTTGTGTGGAGTTCCCTATGGGGCCACGAAACGTGTGACGGGTGTCCTGTAATGGGTGGGGAGACGCATGCCGCCGCGGACACGAGGGTCTTCGGTGGAGCTCCCTATGGGGCCACGAAGCTCTGTCATTCAGTGGAGCTCCCTGGCGGGCGGGGCGCGCACGCTGCGGTGGAGATCCCAATGGTGTCACGAAGCGCGTGAGGGGTGTGCCGACATGGGTGGCGGGGACGCATGCGAACGGCCCCATTTGGAATGCCGGTGGAGCAGCCCGTGGGGCCCCAAAACGCGAGAGGGGTGTGCCGACATGCGTGGCGGGGACGCGTGCGAACGGCACCACTGGGTCTTCAGTTGGAGCTCACCATTGGGCCACGAAACTTGTGAAGGGTCTGCTGAAATTGGTGGCAGGGACGCGTGCGAACGGTGAAATTGGGGCTTCAGGTGGCGCTCACCATGGGGCCACGAAACGTGTGAAGGGTGTGCCGAGGTGTGTGGCGGGGCGCGTGCGAACGGCGCCACTGGTGCTTTCGGTGGAGCTCACCGTGGGGGCCACGAAACGTTTGAGGGGTACGCCGAAATGGGTGGTGGGGACGCATGAGAAGCGCGGGGAGCGACTGGGGAGCGCATGGGAGCGTCTGGGATTTAGTAGCGCTTGGGAGCGTCTGGGAGCGCTTGGGTGTGAGAGCTATGCCGAAATTGGTGGCGGGCACGCGTGCGAACGGCACCGCTAGGGCCTTGTATGGAGCTTCTTATGGGGGCCAGGAAACGCGCGAAGGGTGTGCCGAAGTGGGTGCCGGGGGCGCATGCGAACGGCACCACTCGGGCCTTCAGTGGAGCTCCCTGTGGGGGCCACGAGCCGTGTGAGGGGTGTGCCGGAATGGATAGGGGGACGCACGCGAACGGCACCACCGGGGACTTAGGTGGAGCTCCCTATGGGGCCACGGAGCGTGTGAGGGGTGTGCCGACATTGTAGACTGATGCGGAGAGCAGAGGAAGGACGGGGAGGAGGGGGGAGGACATGAGAGGAGGAGGAGGAGGAGGAGGAGGAGGAGGAGGAGGAGGAGGAGGAGGAGGAGGAGGATAGAAGACGCGGGGACTATCTCTTCAAAACGAGGACACAACTCCACAAGGTGGTTGAGAACAGATTCTCAGGGGGGGCGCCGAACAATATCGTCAGTACCACCAGTAATTCATTAATTTCTGGGGGTGGGGCTGTGGGAGCAACAAATTCTCAGGATCCTTTACGGATCCTTCAGTAATCCCGCTTGGACGTGAGTCAGGAATCTTTCAGGGACCTGCAGGGACCCCAGGAATCCTTCAGGAATCAAACTGGAAACCTCAGGAGGCTTCAGAATTCCAGAAGAATCCTTAGGACACCATAGAAATCATTCAGGGATCCTTGGGGCACCTTGAGGATCGCTTTGGTATCCTCACGCATCCCCCAGGGGTTGGCAGAAAACCACCAGGAACCCTCAGGAGTCCTCCAGGAAACTCATAGGAATCTTCAGGAATCGCTGAAAGAGTCCTCGAGATTCCGCAGGCTGTCTCAGAAATCCCATAGACTTTTACCACACTTCGGGTGATAAGGAGGTTCGGGGGGGAGGAACCAACGTCTCACTCGATCGGTCTCACGATCGATCTCACGATCGATCTCACTATCGGTCTTGCTCGATCGATCTCACTCGATCGATCTCACAATCGATCTCACTCGATCCATTCCATTCGATCGATCCCACATTCGATCTGACTATCGATCTCACAATCGATCTCACGATCGATCTCACGATCCATCTCACAATATATTCCACATTCGGTCTCACTATCGATCTCACTTTCGATGTCACCATAATCTCACAATCAACGTCATCCTCACCATTATCATCATCGCCATCAACGTCATCAACATCATCATCATTATCGGGACATCATCTTCACCTCATCACCATCATCATCATCATCATCGTCATCATCATTATCGCCATGATCAGCATCGGGGCCCCATCATCGTCACCAGCATCATCAGCATCAACATCATCATCGGCACACCATCATCATCATCATCATCATCATCATCACCAGTGGACCACCACCATCACCATCGTTTGCATCTCATCATCATCATGAACAACATAAGCCTCATCGAGACGCCATCATCATCATCAGTAACATCATCACCATCATCGAGGCACCATGATTATCGTCACCATCATCACCATCATCATTATCACCGGGACACCATCATCATCATCATCAACAACATAAGCAGCATCACCATCATCATCGGCCCACCATCATCAAAATCATCACCATCACCTCATCATCACCCTCCTCATCAACATCATCATCATCGGGACACCAGCATCACCATCATCAACATCACCATCATCGGGACACCATCATCACCATCACCATCATCAACAGCATCATCACCATCTTCATCACCATCATCACCAGGACACCATCACCATCGTCACCATCATCACCACCATCATCATCGGGACACCATCATCATCATCACCATCAGCATCATGAACATCGGGCCACCATGATCAAAATCATCATCATCACCTCATCATCATCTTCATCACCAACATCACCACCATCACCGGGACACAATCATCGTCATCATCATCAGCATCATCATATTCGGGACACTCTCATCAACATCATCACCATCATCATCATCATAACCGCATCATCATCAACCTCATCATCATCAGCATCGGGGCACCATCATCATCACCATCATCATCATCATTATTTCCATCTCATCATCGCATCTCTAAAACACCATCAGGGTCATCAACATCATCATCATCATCATCATCATCATCATCATCGGGACACCATCATCATCAGCAGCAACATCAGCATCATCAGCATCATCATTATCGGGACACCATCTTCATCACCACCATGGCAAATCATCATCATCATCATCATCAACATCGTCATCAGCATTATCATCATCATCATCATCATCATCATCATCATCATCATCATCATCATCATCATCATCATCATCATCATCGGGACACCGACGGGACACCGGCGGGACACCGGCGGGACACCGCGCGCCACCGGCCGCCGGACAGGAAACATTTGGTCCGGCCGCGCCTCAGCCAGAGGCGGGACACTTCTCGCCCGCCCACGTAGCTTTGCCTCGCCCGCACGCACGCCACGCACGAACACGAAACCGAAACCGATTTCCCGGTAGGGGGGCTCTCTCTTCCACTTCGATCTCATCCCCTCACCTCCGACACCAGCCCGACGCCAAACCTCTCCCCATGCGGCTTCTATTAGCTACCACTTGACCTCACACAGTTGTCCTGGCGGTCCTGAAGGGCACTCCAGTCCCAGGAATTACGCCTTCCGAATTCCACAGTCGGCTAGCCCCCCTCCTTGTGGGCATTATAGGAAAGTTATTCTGAGAAACAGTGTATAAGTGAACGGGCTTGATCGTATATGCGATTCGACAAGGCAGTTCCCATGTGCGACCGCAGCGCCCTACCGTGCATATTCTTATTACATCACTCTTGACCCTGCACGGTTTCCCTGGCGGTCCAGAGGGGCACTCCAGTCTCAGGAGTACCGCTCCAGCCCGCACCGCCTGCGTAATTTGGCACCCGTATTGCAGCATGTGCCCCTTGCCCCAGCATTTGCTGGCCAATATGGAATTGGTAGCGTGCGCAAACGTAATAGGAGCTACTTTGCGAATAGGCTGGGAAAGCAGGTCGCTTGCCTCTCACAAGGTGATTCTAGCTTGAGACACCTCGTGAACATAGAGGCAGCGAATAAGGGCCGAAACTCATGTTTTGCACCGTCCACACGGACGGGGGGCGGACCGTTTTGCCAAGTAGGGGTGCAGTTTCGGGACGGGAGGGCGCAACGTCTTTCAAGTAATCTGAGTTCAACTTGGTCCTCCTTCTCCTCGTCCGCGTCCTCCTGCTCCTAGTTGGCGCCCGCGCCGCAACCTCAGCGCGCGCTGCCGCGCCTGGGGGACTATACTTCAGGGGGCTCGTCAGGAATCTGTTTGGAATCTTAAGGGGTCCCCCTAGGAATCCCCAAGAGATTGGCAGAAATCCTTTTAGGATTCCTCAAGGATCCCAGAGAAATGTCTAGGAATATGCAGACATCCCCCAGAATCTTCACGAAGCCCAGCGATCTCCCAGGACTCCTTCCAGAATCCTTCAGGAATCATCCAGGCGGCCCTTAGGAATCTTTCAGGAATCATCCGGAGTCTTTCCGGGACCCTCAGGGATCCTCAGGAGTCCCAAGGAAACTTGCATGCATCCTGCAAGAATCTTTCCGGAATCCTGCAGGAGTCAGGAACCCTCAGGAATCTTCAGGAACCTTGCAAGCAACCTATTGGAATCCAGTTGGGGTCTTGTTTTGCGAGGGGCGGACAGTGATATAGTTTCGCCAAGAGGGCGGGATCCATAATGGGTTCTCATGTTTATGCCCGTGCCTCCCAATAGGATGCAAGGATGTCTTGTTGGATGATGATGATAATGACGACGATGAGGATGATGATGCCGATGGTGATGATGGTGAGAGATGGTGATGGTGATGCTGCTGATGATGAGGAGGATGATGGTGATGCTGATGCTGATGATGATGATGCTCATGACGGTGGCAATGATGATATTGATGATGGTCATGATCATCATGATGACGACGGTGATTGTGATGGTGATAACGACGATGATGATGCTGATGAGGATGATGTTGATGATGGAAGTGATGATGCGAACAGTCATGATGATCTCGACGCCGATACAATAGTGATGATGATGATGGGGATGGCGATGATTATACTGATGATGACGATGATGAGTTATGCTTGCGATGGTTATGCTGATAGTGGCGATGCTGCTGATGATGATGATGATGATGATGATGATGGCGACGATGATGATGATAGTGATAGTGATGATGGTGATG